GCACATACCGCTTGCGATCCTCTGTTGGGGAGCGCAAATTTTGTGATTGGTGGTTTATCGAGTGATTTCCACAACAGATCTGTCTGAATCTTCTCGTTCTCTAGTGACGACAGAAACGAATTGTATGCCCAGGACACCACAAGTGACGACATGAACATAACCTGGCCGAACAGTGTTGCTCGAGGAACGAAGAGAAGTTGAATGAGAAACTGCGACAGGAGTAGGAGGGAGCAGATCCCGATGGCGTTGTACTTTTTATCGTTACCCATGTCCAGCACGAGTTTGCCCTTGGTTATCGATGCAACCTCTTTCTCTGCGCCTTTCAAGATGACGATGTCATTGTGCATCAAAAGAAGTCCATCTCCCCGCGGTGCAAAGGACGAAGGTTCGACAAGCTGGAAATGCAGCTTCCCTGAACCGATGACGAAGCACGACAGGCCACTCGATACCATGCCCAGGATGATCAGCCCAAACGCGAGCCAATCACGGACAAGTGCGCAAGTGAGGCTTGTTGCCACACTGCTGGCGATGGGTATAGCAGCACACAGGGCATGATAAATTTTCATCGTCGGTACGTTGCCGCCCTGCTTCAATTTCACAGAGTCGACGTCTATGATGCTCAGCGACCCTGGTGCAGTTACTCTTCCTCCGAGATGGATCTTCTCCTTGATCTCCTTTGCCTTTTGGACTGTAAGGTATGCGAGGTGTCCTGTCATAATATCTGTGCCCGAAAACACCCCAATAAATCGAGGTCCTTCCTTCCCATCCAACCCAAACACTTCTTCCGGCGTTGGATTGAGTCCAGGAAAGAAACCATCCCATAATCTAGATCTCGCCAACTGCCCAAACTTCTTGGCAACAACATAGCTTCCAGGAGAGTTGTACCACCCAAGCCAACGCCTGCCTCGGTAGAGATGGACAGTGGACATCGCGGAGAGGGCTTCTTCCCCGCCGAAGAACCCCATGACACCAGAGGTGTCAAGGGTGAAGGACACATTGTCGAGTGGGGAATTGATGAACATCCTAGAACACTTGATATTGCACCTTGGCTGCACTGTGCCACCAAGATTTTGTCCAATCTTATATGCATTGCACAGTTCCTGTGAAACTTTTTAATTGATTATGGTCCTCTGAGTCCTACGGGAGCCTACGGGCTTCCGAATTCAGGTACTCGAAATAACAGCGAACCCAATTGAAGGTCTATAATATACGTCATGTACTGCAGTAGCACAGCACGTTACACGGAGAACTGTTGGTGTGAATCGCCTTTCAATATTCAATTAGTCGATGATTGCGCTGTTTTATTAAAGGCCTGTCTTAAATCAATGGTGCCGCGTCACGGGAACATTGAACAGATGAGATGATAGAAAAAGCATTACATACCCAGTTACGCTTGCCCTCCTTTACAGAAGGCTCGAACGATTGTCTTTCCTTTTAGTCTGTAATATACTTTGGTTGCATTACCTATGCTACGCAGTACAGCGAATCCGTTACTAGTACTACCAGTCATCGCACCTAGGCACGTTTCACACTGCGCTGGTAACCTTGGGACTGATGGCATCAAGAAATTGGATCCGTTAGGCAAATTCCGAACATCGACGAGGCGTAACTTTGATTTGAACCCTGTAATCTGCTACCGCCTCGACCGTGCCGAACGCGTCACTCGCTTAGCGAACCAGATGGCGTCTCCAAGTTTTGCATTCATCCCCCGAAATATTTCCAAGGGTGGGAAACAGCAAGGTACTTCTGCTCACGTATCCTCGTCACATAAATCAGCATCGACACCTGCCATTGAAAGAGAATCAGCGCAACCAGGACCGTCCGTGAGCGACAAAGGAAAACGGAAAGTGTTTGAACAATCGGCGAAACCAGTCTATAGCGAGAAGGATATATCTATTCTTCTTGTTCTCGCGTTTTCGGACTATGCGCTTTGGCTTGACTCAGATCTGAGGAGGAAAATCGAAGAGTCTCTTCAGGGCGAGGAACATGATGCTGGATGTATGTTTCCTTTTTTTTGTACGCGTATCAGGCAGGGTTTATGTAGTCACGCAGTTTTACCTCTCAGCTACTTGATGCGTCGCGCTTTTGGTAGGGAGAACTTGGGTCAAGAATATATGCCGACTGAAGCAAACGCGGTAAAGGCAATTCGGACCTACGCTGGCGACGTGCTGGAGGTTAGAGTGCTTGTGTCTGCTCCATCTGCGTCTGCATGGTACCCTTCCTGGAAGCCAGAGAGGGACTCGATCGGTGGTTATGAAGTACGGAGGAAGGATTGGTCGACCCTATTGGATAACGCAACTCGTGAATTCACTCGGAGTCAGTGGGACGATCGTACAATTTACATGGTAGGTACGTCCCTTTGACAGAGGACCATAATCTGATGATAGTAGGAAAATATACCTGCCCAATACCACACAATACCTGGCATCATTCGATTTGCGCAAGGCTTACTGTCTCAATGTCCGGGATCGTCGGCCCCGATTCCAATCCAAAATGTCACACTTCCTCCGCACCACTTAGATAAAACTGAGGACCGCCCAAAATGTAAAGGCTTCGCACTCGTTACTCTATGTAATGCAGAGTTGTGTCAGATTTTCCTTGAATCGTGGCTTTGGACGCGGCCATTCCAGCCTGCCGAATCAGACGACTCTGAAGACAACTCGGAGACCAAAGAAGCCTTTAAATTCGGATTTCGTACTCTACCAAAAGCATGCTGGGATAGATTGAACGAGGAGTATCTCGCTTACCGCCAGAGATTGATTAACGAGCTCGCGGATGCCAACGAACCCCCACATATCTCACCCAACCCCGATGTACTGGACGTCGCTGATGACGTTTTGGAAGACACCCCTCCGCCGCCTAGGAACGTAACAACTATGTACTCACCGTACCCCTTCGGCTGTCTCGTCTTTGCCCGAAATCTGCATATTGAAACAAATAAGACCACTCTTCGAGCGCTATTCGCTGCCACATTCGAGTCGTCTGCTGTAGATCCCGCCGGTATCGACTATGTCGATTTCAACAAAGGAATGGACTCTGTAAGTCTTAGATATTTCATGAGTATCCACCCTTACAACACCGTTAGTGCTATCTTCGGCTTGCCTCGCCTGAGCATGGACGCATTTTAGTTGACCGCTTCTCTAGTCAGCCTGTGGTACAGTCTCACGGCCTTGACGACATAGGCAAGACTCCCGGAGCGTCCCAAAAGGCCATCACAACGGAGATTATCGAAGGGAAAAAGGAGGAAGTTTATTGGGAAAAAGTTCCAGAGAAAGTCAGACGACAGGCTGTGGAGAAAGCAGTGAAAGCTCTTGGCAAACAACCATCGGCTCCCGCACACGCTGTATATGAACACTCCGAGGAAAGCAGGCCGCGGAAAAAGAGAAATCGCGGCTAAATTTATAATGTTGGAAGCATTCCCCACTCCCGACGACATTAGTGGGGGAGGGCTCTTGTCCAACACGATTGGTTTCCCATCTCCCAAAACCTCCGTCAGTTACGCCCGTGTTTGGGCCTTTTCGGTTGCAATCATTTGACAGCTTATTTGGTAGAGTTGTCTGTGTCTGCTTGCTGAGCCGCTTTTTTCCATTATGCATGCCTTGGTGGGCCACTCCCGTATGTCTTGAGATTTCCGTTATGGGGTGTTGTAGAGTTTCGCGTTGATCTCTCTGTTGACATCTCTGTATGGTGCCTGGGCCTTGCTGCGCAATCGAAAGTAGACAAATTATGTTCCGCCTCGACATTCAAGATAAACTATACAGCATCGGAACGAAATGACTTGGTTCAATTTCTCCACCTTTAGCTTTCAAGTCATCCTCGGTCGCATTAGAGGAGCCAACGACCGAAATAGTGTCATCAATGAAGCTTCAGCGAGGCTAGGGAGGTTACATCATTTTCCCGACTATCAGCTCACTCTGTCCTTAGCCTGCGTGCATTCTTCTGGCCCCATTATAGAATTTTGTTTGGTGGTGAATCCCGATAGTTTTGGTCAGTCTGGTGAGAATGTAAGTTGGTACGCACCTCAATTTATCTTATGTTTCTGAGATGGCATGAAGGTTTTTCATTGACAGACTATCACATAAAAGAGTTTCGGCGTAATGGCTGGGCCCAGCCGCTAAAGTGGACCTCCGAGGATCTACGCATTGCAAAATATTATCAGGAGGTTTCGAACCAACTCCAAGAGAAACAGATTTTGACTCTGTTCTGGTAACCCCTTGGCTTAAGACCAGTTATATGCACCTCCAAGGAAAACCATCCATAAGTGATTCAACGTATGTTCTGGTACACAAAAATCCTTGACATTGACAGGTTTCGATCCTGCACTGGCGTAGTCGAAGAGACAGAGTTAGAGTCTGTTGTAGTGGCCACTTTGGCAGGACGAAGTTGAGACGAAGTTGAGATGAACCACCGAGGAAACCACCCATGGACGAATCGTCAAGGCGTATTCTGATCGAAGAAAAAAGCCTCTAATCGGCAGGTTTCGAACCTACACAGTCTAGGAGAAACAGATTTTGATTCTGTTGCGGTGATCACTTGGCTAAGACCAGTTAAGATGAACTTGCGAAGAAAACATTCATGTGTGAATGACCAACAAGGTGCGTTCTTGATAGTAAGGAATAAGCTTGTCATCTGCAGGTTTCAAACATGCGCAGTCTAGCCACTAAAGTGGACCTCCGAGGATCTACGCATTGCAAAAATGTTGTCAGCAGGTTTCGAACCAACTCCGAGAGAAACAGATTTTGACTCTGTTCTGGCAACCCCTTGGCTTAAGACCAGCTGTATGGACTTCCAAAGAAAACCATCCAGAAGTGATTCAATATGTGTTCCGGTAGACAAAAAACCTTGGCACTAGCAGGTTTCGAACCTGACCTGGCGTAGTCGAAGAGACAGATTTAGAGTCTGTTGTAGTTGCCACTTTGGCAGGACGAAGTTGAGATGAACTGCGAGGAAACCACCCATGAACGAATCTTCAAGGCGTGTTCTGATCGAAGAAAAAAGCCTCTAATCGGCAGGTTTCGAACCTACGCAGTCCAGGATAAACAGATTTTGATTCTGCTATGGTGACCACTTGGCTAAGACCAGTTAAGATGAGCTTACGAAGAAAACACTCATGAGTGAATGTCCGACAAGGCGTGTCCTTCATAGTAACACATGATAAGCTTGTCGTCTGCAGGTTTCAAACATGCGCAGTCTAGGAGAAATAGATTTCGATTCTGTTGCGATAACCACTGTGTCCAGGACGCTTCCCAAGTTGAGATGGACGTCTACGAGTCGAAGAACATCATGCATTGACAGTAGGATCATATATGATTAAATAGCGCTCATCTGCCAATGCAAAATAAAAATAGAAGACTAGTTTGTGTTTAATTCGATGTACATGCCAGGAATAAGTGAGTCGGGGATGGCGCCGGCGCCGGCACGTACGATAGTAATGGGCTGGTAAGTAAAAGTGCATTGCGCCCCTAGTACAACATATCGTTACACTGTGGAAGTACAAAATCATGAGTTTGCTATCACATGTGAAGTATTAAAACGATCGTACGCTTACAGGCCATAGTCTAGAGACAAACATCACAAACTTGCCATTACAAGTAACTCGCGATCTCTCTCATAGTGAGTCTATTATGCATGTTCATGCACCAACACTTCTCCAACAAGGCCCAAAGTGAGTCATCCAAGCCCCGTTCTGCAACGACTGGGTCCGTGGGCCGAGGTGGAGTTTCGCCATCACAGACCTTAAGGATGACTTGAGTTGCGAGGTGAACCGACACCCAAGGTTCTTTGTGGGTCATAAGCTGTGAAGGCTGTTCAAAACATGGCTGACCAACCAAACGTGATAGAAGTACCTCGAGCACGGTCATACTAAAGGCATAGACGTCGGACGCCATTGTACGTTTGCCTCCGCTCCTGCACAGCTCAGCAGGACACCATCTCAGAGACTCCTGGTTAAGAGTGCTGCCATTGCTGACGTCGAAGTAGCTCATAATCTCTTCCTCGAGCTATATTGCTCGGATAAGTCAGAGCGTAATGATTGATGTGAGAAGAGACGTCACCCTTGCAAAACCGAAGTTAGAAAGCAGTGGCCTGCCGTCCGGGCTGATGGCGATATTGAACTATAATGAGGTAAGGATCCTAGTTGTTGGCGATTGACGTCATGACTGACCGCTTTGATATCACCGTGAACAACAGACATACTGTGCAATAATTTGATGCCTTCGACAATGCCTTTCAACTACAAAATCAGGTCAAAAACACTGCTTTCATCGATTAAAAGCAAGGTATGTACAATATACCGGTGGTCAACCTCGGGGTGTTGATTGACGTAGTCTTTCAAGGTCCCGTTAGACATCCAGGGGCTTACGGTGTAACTGCTATAATGTCAGGAACGAACGCGAGTTTCTGAGGAAGGAAAGACCCACGGATATTCCCCGTCGCTCTGACAAAAACCGTATATCGTGAGGATGTGTTCTCCTTTATCTGCCTCGAACACTCTCCTCCAAATCTCCGCCTCCGTTTTGAACCTCTGCAAATTAATTAATTGAGCGTCCACGACAACGACAACAACGACATTAAGATAGTGTACCTTGAGCGTCTTAGGTGTAGCATAGACTGCACGCAGGACTCTGATGGCAACCTTCTCCTCATTAAGGTAGCATCCTTCCCAGACATCGGTCCGACTCGTTCCATTCACAGCATAATTACTGGTACGTCTCACTTCCCCGCGTTTCAAGTTCATGTTCGGAAGTAAACTTCTAGAACTCCGGAGAAGATTATACAAGTTACTTTCCAGACCGTGCTCAGCTGCTGTAGAGATGTGGCGCGGAAGATTCTGTCGATGAAAATCAGATGAACGGTTCAAGAGACTGGAGAATGTGGTATTAACCTCTTGCATCACTGTCAAGATCTGGTTTACAGCGGCGGTTTGTTGCATTTGGTTATTCATGAGAATCTCTTGCTTGTTTCTAAGGTCCCCGAGATATTGGATCATATATTCGTTGTCGATCCTTCGGTTGTCTTCGAAGGCAGACTGCCATCTGTGAATCTCGAAGTGCGAGGTTATCTGGTCAAATAAGTAGATGAACTGATGGACAATAGCTGAGGAACAAACACTTGAACTTACCTGTAACCTGTTTAAGCAATCAGATATCTCAAGATGACACTTTTGGATGACTCCAGCGAGTTCATCCTGTTTGACGAATAACTTCATTCGAGACATCAAGCACCATGGAGTCATTCTGTCGAGGATGCCTTGGATAGTGCTAGCTAAGTTATAAGCTTTCTTTCAGGCAACAACATCTGCATGCTACCAACCTTTGTGCGCCTGAGCAAAACCTGATTTTGTCATCCGGCGACGTGGTTTCGCCCTCGCTCTGGATGATAGTCAGCAAACTGAGGCAGCGTTCCTCGAGTTGTCGCATGCCATTTCTGTCACAATAATCATTGCGGTCAGTGGAATGAACCAGTGTGGCAAAATGATAGGTACTTGTTGGACTCTGCTTTAGCCAGCAGGTTGATGAGGGTAGTTAGAACACCGAATGCTGGACCAAGCCATGGACATGGAGTAGACTGTGTTGCCTGAGACAGCGCTGAAGCGGGATTGATGTGAAACCGGGGGGACGCGAAAGTCTCCATGATTCTTGGTCAATAAGACGCAGTCGTATATAAGAGGGTGCGCCGCCGGAAACTGGGCAGTGATTGTTGCACTCCACATGCTACTTGAGCTCTTTTATAGAGAATTTACCGGGACTTGTTGACCCACAAGTGACCACAGCCTGCCTGGTAGGTTCGAGGCACTGTACATGTCAATCAGTTGTTCCAGAGGAAGATATCCATGGAACTTGTCTATAGAAGGAACCAACCCCTTCTATCCCGTCACCTGTTGGCTTAACATCTTCAAAAGCTGAAGCTCAAGCTTTGAAGGACAACATAGTACAAGCCTACAAGGAACATTTTGGGAGGACTGACTCTAGCTCTCATTGATATGACAAGAGAAAAAGCCAGAAGCGGAGATAACAACCCGAGAACAGTATACAGCAGGCATAAACACGTGGTAACATGATTACTAGTACGTATGATATGAAGTCAAAACGGTCATGGCACCACAAAACCCACTACTGCTGTAGCGGGAATATGCATGGTGATCAATAAGGTATCGTTGTGATCTGCGTGGAAGGAACTACCATGTTCCTTCGTACCAGTAGGTCAAGGGGAGGCTACTATCTATCCCCTTCTGCGAGGAGTCTATCCCGTACGCGCATCAAGGCCTTTCCAAGTTCGTTGGCACCGTCACCTGAAGGGCCATGACCCCAGTACGTATCATTGGCATCGGCATACACCAAATCAGCAAGGCCCGTGCGCAAAAGCAAGGTCCGAAGGTGCGGATGTTGCTTGAATTTGAGAAACAGCACATCTTCCATCTGTAAACACGAAAAGTCAATCTATCAGAATATTTGTCAATGAAAACAATCTCACAACCCTCAAGAACACCTGGCCCCAATCTGGTCGCACGTGGTCTTGAAGACTAGCCGACAACGGGTACATGTCACCGACATCGGTGCACGTTCGGATACGCTCCTGAAGGTTAGGGTGTTCCGTAAACTTCATCGCCTCAAGGAGGTGCATCGCAGTCGGGTACATCTTGTTTTTGTACAGCACTCGGTGTTGTGAGTGATTTACAAATCCGCTTAGTTCACCTGTATGATCAAACTTGATGGGTGGTCCGCGATCGGGAACTGGCATATTTTGCAGTGGGGCTCCATTTCCATTGTATGTGTTTGTCCCATGGGGCACGGCTGCAGTTGGTGGTATAACGAATGATGTCACGGTATTAGAACGATGATGACCGCCAAATTCGCTATCGCCCGCCGATGTACTGAAAGCGCGAAAGAGTCCCTTCCGCGATTTACCCTTGCGCTTACTACTAGAGCCAAATAGGTTTCCTAGACGCGATATCGGACCTGCTGGTTGAGCCAGCATATTTTCCATTTCTTCCATGTGTTCGACGTTCAAGGAGAGGGTTATATCCTTTGGGAGTTCCTGTAAAACTTGACGATATGGGGTAGTGTCCCATATGTCTCTAGGAGGAGAGGGAAGGGGATTTCTCCGCGTTGCCATTCGTATGGGAGGGACAGTTGGAGGCCTAAATGGTACATCACCCAAGTAAGGCTCGGGCATGGAAATAGGGTGATCAGCTGGTTGATAGAAGTCGGTGAATCTCGGGCGAGATGACGAATTAGCCGTACGCTGTGCGTCAGGTATGACGGGGGGAGGAGGCACAGGCATGGAAATAGGGTGATCAGCTGGTTGGTAGGAGTCAGTGAATCTCGGGCGAGATGACGAGTTAGCCATACGCTGTGCGTCAGGTATGACGGGGGGATGAGGCTCAGGCATGGAAATAGGGTGATCAGCTGGTTGGTAGAAGTCGGTGAATCTTGGACGAGATGACGAGTTAGCTGCACGCTGTGCGTCAGTTATGACGGGGGGATGAGGCTCAGGCATGGGAATAGAGTGATCAGCTGGTTGGTAGAAGTCGGTGAATCTTGGACGAGATGATGAGTTAGCTGCACGCTGTGCGTCAGTTATGACTGGGGGAGGAGGAACAACCGGATCTCCCCGTCGACCGGTCATATCGGGAATGACAGGGCCTGGAGTCGCCCGATTGTCTACTTGTGGCTCGGGCATGCGCACAGTGGGTTGTGAGTGAGATGAATAATCATTCATATTAGGAGGAGGAAAAGCTGTGTCTCGTTGGGGTTGCACGTTACTGATAACAGGGGGCGGAGGAACAACGGGATCTCGTCGACCAGTCGCATCAGGCATCACGGGGCCATGATTGTTTGTAGCTATAGAAGGCTCTGGCATGTGTACCTGCGGCACTGCAGATGGAATAACTGGTGCAGGTGGCTGATGAGCTGCGTTTTGAAAAGTAGCGACTGGAACATATGGTTGCGGCATAACCACAGGCTGCTGCATAGGAACCATGGCCACTGGCACTGGGTAATACCCGGTCATTTGTGGATACGCAGATTGTACCTGTGGGTCTTTTCATCCGCCACTGTCAGGAAACGACTGCTCTCACGAGA